GCTGCAGCCCGGGTCCTCAGCTGCCAGACTCGCGCCTGAGCTCTGGACTCGCCCCAGAGCCGCGGCGAGCGGGCGGGGCGCGGGTGGCGCTGTGTGCAGCGGCGCGCAGGGAGGCGGTGAGCGTGTGCAGAACTGTCCAAACCCAAGACTCTGTGTGCATGTGTCTGTGTACGCGCGCGCGTGTGAGTGTGTGAGTGTGTTTACGCGTGTGTTTCCTTCTTCCCTTTAGGATGTGAATGGCTTCGCAGCTGGAGGCTCCCTTAGGATTCTTGACTTTGGGGAGCTGTGGGTTGTGAGCACAACCCACCCATGCAATCCATTTTGCATGGTCGGTTATATCAGGAAAAAGCGCAACTGGACGGGGGTGGGGCAGACCAAGGAAACCTCTGGAAACACACACATACGCACGCTTATACGAAAGAGGAAGAACCGAGAGACCTGAGGAGACTTTCATAACCTCAATGTTGGCCCTTCCATTTTCCGGAAAGATCCTGGGTATTTTCTACGATTTCAAGTCGTCTTGTCATCTCGCTAGTGTTTTGTAAGCCGCTTTCCAGCTAGCTGCGTGTGTCTGTGTGTGTTTGTGTGTGCGCGCGTGTGTGTGTGCGCGCGCGCCAATCTAATGCATTTGACTGTCTTTTATCCAACTGCCCAGAAGCAAATGTGTTAACTCGGCGATGCCTCTCCATGCACGGGCTCTCGAAGAGAGCGGAGGACGCCCAGACCCATTTTTCTGGCCGGATTCGGAACCGCTGTTGGGCTGTGGACTCAGGTGTGTGGATCGCCTTACCCAGAGGCTTGGAAAGCGCTAGTGTTAACCTGCTTGCAGGTACATCGCAAGGTCAAGAGACAGTCTTGCAGCCTTCTGGTTTCCGTGCATCTAGACTTTGCTGCCTTGGCCGGAAGGATATTTACGTGTTGGTCCACAGCATTTGAAGCCAAAAGTTCAGCCCTTCCAGGTGGTTCGCTGTACAAGCAAGGTAATGAGGATTGCTTTTCAAACTGCTTAACACAATCCCCTACTCTTCCTCAGACCTTTCCCGGCTCCCTCCTCCCCACCAAAATGTCACCAGCTCTTAAATTGCGTGGATTTGGGTTGGAGGAGAACTTGAAGAAAACGTGATCAAATGGCTTTGCGAGAACGCTCTCCTTTCTGCCCGCGGTCCTGTGGGCTTCGAAGCCGATCGTGAGAAGGACAGTTCCCTCCTTGCTTCTTCCTCCCGGTGCGGAGCTGGGTGTGCGTGTGCAAGTGTGAGGGCGCGCGCGCCCGGGTGCGAGTGTGTGAGCGAGTGTGTCTGTGTGTGCGTGCGCGGCCGCCCTGCCTCTGCCCGCTCCCCGGGCGCTGAGCCGCGGGTTTCATGGGGCGATCGTCGCGGATCCCCCACCCAGTGCGACCTGCAGGCAGCGGCGAGACCTGCCTCTCAGACTCCCTAGGATGCGAGTGCTGAGCTATGGCAAAGGGCAGCGAAGTGCCGAGCGAGACCCGCGTACGACTGTGAAAGCCACCTGGAGCCACCTTGTCGGGATTGTACCTGCAGGCAGAAAGTCCTCCTACGACCGCCTTTCCCCCTAGAGGCACCAGGTAACAAGCCAACGACTCCTCGCCTCACCCAGTTTCCTTCTGATCTTGTTTCTAGTGTCTTATCTGCATTGCAGGCTACTTTACTTATTAATGTTTTGGAAATCGTTAGGAAGGGCTGGGTACCCAAGGGTGCCTGCTCTGTAATATTGTAATACAATTTCTAGTAAGTGGGTTATAAATCTGCACCTGGGCAGTTCACCGAAGAGTGAAAGCTAAGGGGATGTGGATATGCTCCACCCTAGGGATATTTTTTTGAGAGCTAGGCATGTCGAGTCTGAAGATGCCAGAAGATTAAAATCCGTGTTTCCTTCAGGCTGTGATTTCCACGGACCATTTGGTATCCAGCCCTCCTTAGACTGAGGAGGGTGTTCGGTTTCCACCCATCATTTCAGCCAAAGAGCCTTTTGAACCTTCTGTCTCTCTGGTGCCTGGTTGTCTCCCTCTCCTTGTCGTAGAAGAGCTTGCCAAAGCCTTGGAGTAGTTGTAATTTACACATCTGGAGACTTTGATCCGAAATGGAGTTTTCTTGGAACTTGCTTTGCTTTGCGTGGAAGGGAATTTATTGTCATGGAGAATATGTGTTGTGATCTGGTGTTTAACTGCTAAGGTGTGCTTACCCTGGAGCAAATGAAGCCTATGAGAGAAGTCGTTTGTTAAGGCAAGGAGGAAAAGGCTAAAAACCATAACCACCACCCAACACTATTCCCAGATGTATTGTCTCTGTCGCTAACCGCTAACCGAGGGAGGAGGAGGTTGTGTGCGGCTTTTAAATTTATTTATTTATTCATTCATTTATTTATTTTGCTCTTTGGTGTCTGTGTAATAGTGTCTTGAAAATTCTTGCCCCTGTCTTGATGTACATGGAGCAGGTTAGATTTGCGACTGCCTCATTAACATATCGAGTCTGATATGTTAAAATGGAGATTCCCATAGCCAGCTGAGGCAGAACAAATTTAGTTAACTTCCAAACCCCTTACTGTCGCACCGATTTCATTTCCTTTTGCCACCACCTCTGGGTCCGTCCCCTACAGAAAATTTCAATCCCTTCTTGAGGGCATTATGATTAACAAGATAAAGCACTTCCAAAGTAGTGTCATCAATGTTTTATTCGGTAGTGAAGACGGTCTGAATAATTCAGCGAAGGACTGCTCGTTTGTCTCCTGCCTTTTGGGAGCTGCCGGCTGGCTGCACTCCGCGGAAGATTTGGCCGGCCAAGCTCTGGGTGCCTGACTCCAGAAGGCAGTAACTGGGGGTGCTTTAGAGGTTTCCTTGCTAAAGCCGCTTAGGAAGTGTAAGGGAGCTGCCTGATTTTCCTCCACTGGCTGCGTTTCTATAGATATCCATATGATGGCATTTGCAGACTGCTAGCTGGTGGATAGCGGTTCGCATTGTCCCTGCGCGCTGACGTCCCCCATTCCTCCTCTGGAGTCTGGGCTCGACTGCTGCTGCAGCCCTTGCAGACTGGTGGTGCTACAAGGCCGTGTATGCAGCGGGCTTTGGGGGCTGGGTCCGCCACTGCAGCTGCCAGGGCGGCTTTCACACTTTCTTGGGGCGGGGCAGGAGAGCACAGCGGGGGCCCCGGCAGACACAGGCGCATCGTGGCCGAGGTTGCCGCCTGGATATGTGAGGAGGGGGGGTGG